AGAGGTTAGCTGAGCTGAATCTGTTTAGCCTTGAGCAAAGGAGACTAAGGGGGGACATGATCCAGGTCTATAAGATTCGAACAGGTCTGGATGCTGTTCAGACAAATGGCTACTTCAATATTAGTTTAAATACTAGAACTCGTGGCCATACAGTAAGTGGAAATTAGCAGGAGAACATTTTAAAACAAATGTGAGGAAGCACTTCTTTACACAGCGTGTTGTTAGAGTATGAAATAGTCTTCCTGCTGGTGTAGTGGAAGATAAAACCCTGGGTTCCTTTAAATCAGAGCTAGATAAGATTTTAACAACTCTGAGTTATTAGTTAAGTTCACCCCAAATGAGCTTGATGGGCCGAATGGCCCCATCTCGTTTGTAAATTTCATATGTTCTTATGTTCTAATTTTACTTTTAAATGAACCAATAAGATCGATAGTTTTAAATTAATGAAAAAGAATCTATGACTTGCATCCACGTAATCATTTGAACAGTATATTTAATTATTTTGTGTATAATTATAAATTATAAAAAGTTTAGGTTAATTAAAGAAGGGCTTTCATTATTTATTTAGAGTGATGGCTCCCACTACAAGCCGTAAGAATTAACCCGCTCATTATATTTAAAAGGAAAACAATGCCAAAGGAATCGTTTCCTTCAAGTGTCGTCATCCACAGTAACAAGAAAGGTTGGATGGGTGAGACAATGATGGAATTCTGGCTGCAATGATGTTTCTTGAAACGTCCTGACAGCTTTTTTAAATCTAAGAGGGCTATACTCATCATGGACAGCGTGAGATCGCACCTTACCGACAAGAAAAAGAAAGCCATAAAAGCCATGAACTGCACCCCCGCCATAATACCTGGAGGCCTGACGAGGAATTTGCAACCTTTGGATATTTCAGTCAATCGGAGCTTCAAAGCTATACTCAAACGTCAGTGGGAGACCTGGATGACCGACGGGGAACATAGCTTCATGGATACTGGACGTATGCAACGTGCAACCTTTGCACAAGTGGCTGAGTGGATCAGCTTAGCATGGGATACCATAAGCATTAAAACAATAACATCTGGCTTCAGAAAGGCAAAAATAGCTGGTGCAGAAGGACAGGAAGAAGAAGAAGAAGAAGAAGACATTCAATACCAGGATATTCCGGCAGCAATATCTCAGCTATATGAGAGTGATACTGAGAATGAGGACTTCGACGGCTTTACTGACACAGACAATTAAGACATTTAACATTGAAAATTCGAATTAGTAGATTTTTGATTTATTTAAACTGCCAAAGCCATTTTTATCAATAGTACTTTTCTGGATGAAAACCTATTAAAATATCGAACTTTTAGTTGTATATGTGTTCCTTTCTAGGCGCAACTTACACAAAGGAGCGACTTATATATGTTTTTTCCAAAATTTTTGGGGTTTTAGGTAGTTGCGACTTATAGCCCAAAAATACGGTATATTAATTTCATTCACTTCACTTGACAAACTTTCTGAGAACTAGAAAATATTTGTCAACATTTAATTTACTAAATCGTGAAATCAATCACATTAGGTTTTATTATGCTTTCAAAAAATGTAGCTTTTAAATGACTGATGTAACAAAGAGTCATTTTCGTAAAACCATGACTGTTGGTGTATAATATATTCTCCTTTACATACCCATGACATTTCCCAATCACTCCTTTTTCTGTATAATCACGACTGGAAATTCAAAAATGTGCAGGGCTCTAGCCCTCCAGGACTCGAGTTTGACACCCCTGCTGTCACATCTCCAGTTTACGGAGTGGGGAAGCAGGCAGAGGAGTCCAGGGAGTTGGGTGAACGTAGGGTTTATTCAGGGTAAACCCTCCATTCAGGAGCATGGAACAACAGGCACAAACGACATCAATGACCGGACTGGGCAATCACTCACAGAAACTCACTTAAATACACGACAGCAATTAACATATCTACAAACAGCTGATAACATGGGGATTCCACATGAGGTAAATGAGGGGGCATAGCACACAGGAGGATCGGAACAATCGGGGCATGACTCCTGCTCTAAGATTACACTGAAAGCACGGCTTCCCCCATAAAATTGTCAAAAGAAATATTAGTCAGTTTATCTTTGTAAATTGATTTGCAATTAAGTGTTCACGGGGGTTGCTTTCAAAAATATATGCGTTAACTTTTCCTTTGAAACCAGTGGCCTGTACTACGAAGCGGGTTTACTGGCTTATCGGGGTAACTTAGCGAGTAACTTGATGACGTGTGGTGTAACTTCGTGATTAATCCATACTAGGAAAGGTGGGTAGATTTTACTCGAGTCATGCTGCTATGGCAATTTACGCTAAGTATATCCCATTGCACATTATACGGATACATTCGAGCATTCAAAAATTAATTAAAATTCATATGTAAAGCAATCTGGGAAACAAAGGGGTGTGCAACAGTCGCCATGAGCCCAAAATGACCATGTCATTACAGCTGACAGGACCTATTTTATTAGCTATTAACACGATTTGGCACAAATCACAAAATGGTTTAAAGTGAAAAAATAAAACTGGCCAACAAATTTTAGGAAATTTTTTGTTTATTCCATAATTTTGGATGAAACCAATAGATTTTAACGTGCTGAACACAAATATGTATTTGAAATTTTTGAATCAGGTAGGGTTTTAATGAAAACTGCAATTATGCATTTAACATTATAACGTCTTCAGTGGCATTGGCCTATGCTACTATATTGCAACGTAAGCAACACAAGAGAAGATTAGAAATGTTTTGATGCAGATTTTCCTTTGTAGTCACTGTCCGGGGCTTCACATACTGTATCAGTGTCCAACAATAGTCCCCCAGCATAGACGGACTCCACTTTCCCAGGTAACGTTTCTCCATGTTTGCAATTTCTTGGTGAAACCTTTCTCCATGTTCGTCACTGACTGCACCGAGGTCGGCTGGGAAGAAATCCAAGTTGCAGTTCATTGATTTGTATGCCTGTAGCAGACTTTAAACCTGTTTGATGTAGTTTGGTGCCTTGTAGTTACCCAGAAAGTTAGAAATGACATTCTTGAAGGCGATCCATGCGACACGTCCAACACCCTGCAGCAGGCCATCAAAATGACTGTCCCTCATCACTTCACGGATCTGTGGACCAATAAAGACGCCTTCTTTCATCTTGGCATCACTGATACATGGAAACATCTGTCGCAAGTGCGCAAAAGCTTTGCCTTGCTTATTCATTGCCTTAACAAAGTTTTTCATTAGCCCAAGTTTGATGTGCAAAGGTGGAAGAAATATTTTCTTCAGATCAACCAGTGGCTCATGCGCAACGTTCTTCAGCCCGGGAACCAATGTCTTTAAGACATGCTTGGGTGGGCCTGAACGTGCCCAAGTACATATGATGAGACAGATTTCCATGAAGAATTTGATCTAAATGAGTCTCTAGTATAAATTACATCAGTTATTTTTAAAAAAATACAATAGTTCTGACCTACTACTACCAGGCATGTAAACTGGAATACCCATTACTATGCAAATCACTCCGATTCTAACATTTCTTCCCTACTACTAGAAAATTAGCTGTTTCTCAAAAACCTTGCCCACTGGGAAGATTTCAGTTATTTCTGTGATCAGCATCACAAAATCTATCTGGCGCACAAAAAATTTTGAAGGAAAGAAAAACCATGTCGACCAGTGTAATCGGTGTGCATCGTTGTCTGTGTACTGGACATCACAATTCTGTCATTAAAAATGCCCCACCTTCCATTAAAAGTTGCAACCAACCTGCCAATTTAGTACACTGGTGCTGGCTAAGTTATGTATCCATTGGTACAGTGTGTGTCATGTACCGTTCAGTACATACTTTTTAGTTCTGTGTGCACAATGAAGTGAATAAATACATTTTTTGACACAGGCGAAACCTAAAGGCACATGTAGATGGTCAACCCATTACATCATGCTAATTGTGGCTGTGAGTTGGTTATGGCTAATGTTGGTTACAGTCAGTCATACTCAGCAGTTTCGGAACAAAAGAGTAGTTGATAAGATGAAAGCTGTGGTCGAACAGTCTATTTTGCTTAGGAAGGTTCCAAACTGAGTGAGCTAACAAATAAGTGCCTAAGTTGCATGATTGAATTCTCTAGAACAGTTTTCTTCACTGAATTGTAGATGAGTGCCATGCTTAAGGTGTAGAGGGGGTTGGGGGCCACAATTTACTTTTGATAGGCTGGCTAGCCAGAAGTAATCTTAATGCTGCTCCACTTGATTGTTAGTGAACTATGTAGCTGTACATTATTGGGGAAGTTGTATTATATGGAAGCAAATCTGTGTCATCAGAATTTGAATTTTATATGCCACTGAAATTCTAACATTGAATATTTATGCATTGGAAATATGCGTTGGAAATTCGATGGTCCGAATTCACATGCAAAAATATGAGGTTAAAAATACAAAGACAACATTTCAAAGTTGCTCCAATTCGATGGTCCAAATTCACATGCAAAAATACGAAATTAAAAAATACAAAGACAACATTTCAATGTTGCTCCAATTCGAACGGTCCGAATTCACGTGCAAAAATACAAGGTTAAAAATACAAAGACAACATATCAATGCTGCTCAAATTCGACGGTCCGAATTCACATGCAAAAATACGAAATTAAAAAATACAAAGACAACATTTCAATGTTGCTCCAATTCGAACGGTCCGGATTCACGTGCAAAAATACAAGGTTAAAAATACAAAGACAACATTTCAATGCTGCTCAAATTCGACGGTCCGAATTCACATGCAAAAATACGAGGTTAAAAATACGAGTTATACATCTGGGATTCATTAATTTGTTTATTTTTTTAAGTTCAGTGATTTTTAGTACACTAATTTGGTAGTTAGCTTGTAACTGAGTTGTGTGGGTGTGTTCAGCCTGCCTTATTTTGTCAGTGCAATTATTTCTTTAATAAATGTCAGTCTCTACACTTACAGTAACTTTAATTTAATGTTGAATTTGCCAAATTCCACATGTTCATGATGTAGCTTTACGCTGTAACACTATACATTTCACTTTTGTTCAGTGATTTTAACTTGGCATGTTTTTCTCTTGTTTGCAATGATTCAACTCTCCTCCATCATGAATCAGTACAAGCAGGTAAGAGACTTTTTTACATACATACTGTATATACAGATCATGTACATATACAGTATAGCTAACGGTGCAGTACAAAACATGTACATTTAAAATACTCAAATTACTACTTATGTTTACTCTTTACAGTATGTGCTATCGGTTTATTCAGTGAAATGTTAATGTTATTTTTACTAAAGTGCTTGACCCCTAAGTTGGTTGCAACTGGTATCAAGGTTCTTTGCCAAGTGACTTTTAGTAGAATAGTTTGATAGGTAGCTTGCTAACTAAGCCGTGTGTGTACATTTAATCTTACTTAATTCTTTAGTGCAATTATTTCTTTGGTACTTCTACACTCACGGTAACTCTTTAAATTTAATTTAATGTTGTATTTTCCCAAAATCCTTGTGTGTTTCCATGGGTCACCTGTTTATCTTCATGAAGGGCATCCTGGATATCATGGTGAGTCCTGATGTATATCAGTAGTTGTGATAAATGAATGTGATCAGATCTCAATCACTTTTATTGACAGTTATTCAGAAAGGGAAAAAGTACATTTTTTAAATATAATGAATTTTCCCAAAATCCAAATGTTCATGATGTAGCTTTACACTGTAACACTATAAATTTCACTTTTGTTCAGTGATTTTTAACTTGACATGTTTTTCTCTTGTTTGCAATGATTCAACTCTCCTCCATCATGAATTAGGACCGGCAGGTAAGAGACTCTTTTACTGTACATACATATATACAGATCACGTACATATATAGCTAATGCTGCAGCACAAGACATGTCGATAGGCCTTTGCAAATAATTAAGACTCTACTGACCAGCCTGACTGTGTCACAATATTTTCAAACATGTACATTTAAAATACTCAAGTTACTATTTACAGTATGTTTACTCTTTATATTCTTTTGATTTATTCAGAGAAATGTTAATGCTATTTTTACTAAAGTGCTTGACCCCTAAGCTGGTTGCAACTGGTATCAAGGTTCTTTGCCAAGTGATTTTTAGTA